AGCCTCCAATTTTAGTTTTTATCGATCAGATTTCTTAATTATGATTTTAGTTGCAGCCCCATGGTCCCTGTTTGCTGATAAAACGTGTTGGAAATGAAGACAGAAGCAAATATGTGTTCAGAGAGAGAATAAGTCAGTCATCTTTGAGACTGAAGATTTTGAGAGTTTCCTGGACCAACAGAGAAAAAAGAAAAAGGAGGGTAAATGAACAAATCTGCAGCCTTCCTCTCTGCATTCCTTTTATCAAAGATTTGACTATCCTTCCTATTGAGTGTCTGAGAGTTTGTGTCTTCTAAAAGGAAGACACCAAAATATACTATACTTTCTGATTTACCTGAAACTGGGAGCTATACTGATAATATGAAGATAGGAATGACCTGCAGCCTGGAAATATTGCTGAAGAAAAATCAGTGTACTCACTAAATGAGTAATTTAGAGGAAGAAAGTTTGCAGTCAAATAACAAGATGTTTGAATTTGCAATTTTGAAAATGGGATGTGTCCAAGTTCGGCTGTCAGCCTGAGGAGTTAAGTGGAATGGAGGTGCGGTACACAGATGACCAACAGTGAGCCTGCCGTCTGGCTCATGTTGCTGTGTAGCCCTCCCCACAATTAATAAGGACAATTTATGGAACCAAAGATCATACAGAAAATATAAAATCTGACCTCAAAGGCTAGGTCATACAGGACATCATGGCTTGCTCCTTTTGGAATTACACCTTGCTCTTTCTTGACTTACTCAATATGAAAGAAGGCTAAAGCAGTTAATATGGAGAGATCCACCTGGCTCTTACCAACAACAGCACTAAGTTTTTCTAGACACATGAATGATCTGCAGATCTTCCAGCCTCAGCTAGGCTGTCAGATGAAAGAAGCTGGAGACATCATCATGATTGCAAACTCATGAAACTGACACAGAATTCTGACAGATTCTGACACACAGAAACTGTGAAACAATAAGTAATTGTCGCTCTAAGATGCTAATTTTATTTTTTTTCAAAAACTGCACAATTGTGGAGGCAGAACAGGTCTACTTGTATGGTCTGTATGAAGAAGCATTCAGATGGAGATCACTCGAGACAATCAGGGCAAGAACCAATATGCCAAAGCATGGCATAAATCCACAAATAGGGGCTGAAATAACACAGGATAATCATAGGACTTGGAGTGGAGAAGAGACTCAAGAGCACAACTAGGTCCAATGTCTCAGTTGAAAAAAAAGTGGGGTGGAGATGGTTAAGACAAACGCAAGTGCCTCAAAAGAGCAAGAATTTTTTGGAGAAGATAAAATATACATGAGAAAGCTGAACCTGAACACAGTGAAAGGGGAGATGATCCTACTTTACAGCCTCAGTGAACACAATAATGGACTCCCTGGTAAATATGCAAGTACATGAGAGATTCCATGATTGTCTATGCAGTAGAATTTGAACCTTTCTATACTAATTTAAGAGCTTTGGTCCAACTACTGGTACAAATTTTCTAAAAAAGAGGAACTTTCGTATTTTAGGTTCTTATATTTGTGAAACAAGCATGGTTTGCTGCACTATTCACAGTGAGCAAGACAGCATTTCTTGATCTTAAATAAATCAATCCAGCTTTGAGGCATATCTTGGAATCACAAAGTGCACAGACTCTTTTACTTCTTTTACTTTTTTACTTCTTTTGCTTTTTACGTTTCATCACTCCCTGGCATGACATCAGGATTTAGGGACCAAACAATCAGGGAAAGGTGAGAGAGGACTACTCTGGTCAGTAGTTCATCACCATTGAGATTCATTAATCCAGCCCCTAAGATCTGTTACAAAGTAGAAACATTTAACTCCTTTGCTGCAGCTTCCAAAGCCATAGAGCTTAGCTCTCAGTGCCCAGGTCTCTATGCCCACACTATGCTATGGCTGGCACTTATCCTTCAGGTATCACAGAACCCACCCTTTCTCGGTCCTCCCAGAAGACAGAGAATCCAACTTTCTCCCAGGATGGGACCAACATCTTCCCCTGTGAGCACCAACCCCCATCTTTCTGTAGACAATTCAACAGGGCTGTTTTAATCGTACATGCACACAAATGTTGTTTGGGGGTTTTTATACCTATAATATGTAACTTTGTATTTCTATTTTTTAAAAAGCATGAATGTCCTCCTGAGACAAAGAAGCACTAAACATAAGAAAACTGGGCTATGCAGTACTCCTTGGAAAATAAGGAGAGAAACATGTTTTCATCTAGTTATAGGTTACACCACAGCACTAACAAAAAAACAATTCACTGATTTATGTACTCATGTTTATTTTTGCCATTCAATGCAGTGAACATTTACTGGGTTGTATGCCTATCTCCATTTTGTTTTTCTAGGAACTGCAAGAATATTTATCTTTCCGGTAATGTCTTAATAAGAGAAAAATATGAATGAGGCATGAGGGCATGAGTATGCATTCCTTCCACATACCCATTAGGTGCCAGGCATTTATAAAAGTTATTTCCTGAGTGCAATCTGGTATAGAAGGGAAGGAAAAGCTGGTTGCTCCTGTATAATTTTCTATTGACAACAATAAAACCTTTTAAAACATTGAAATGAAGATTGAGTTATATAGTCAACATCTAATTATTTTGAAATCAATAACTGTTTCAATAATAAAGTTATTGTGCACATGGCATTTTCACCACTTGATTAAACTCAGTAATTCTTGCCATAACTAGGGTTATGAAGAGGTTACATTTCGGTTCCTGTACTTTCTTAAACATAGAGTATCCCCTAGAGGAACGCTTTTGTTTACTTTCTGATTAGACACTTTTCAGAAACAAAAAGTATATTAACAAATGCAACAAATAGCCACAACAATACCAAAATGTATCAGATATTACCATTTCTCTATATTCTGATCATTACTCTTAAAAAAATAAAGCTCTAGATATAGAGATGTGCCTCCTGCTTCCCATCTTCTGTCTTTTGCATACCTGGAAACCAGAGAGCTCCCCTTCCATCCTCTCTGGGCATGAGAATGGCAGTCTTCTGGATGCTTGAAAAGAAAATGGGAAAATAAAGTGTGACTGTTTGTTAGGCATTTTTTCAATCAATTCCATTTTCAGTTCCTGGCTCCCTCATTCCCACCAATATCCACAGGTGCCAATTAAAAGTATTTCCAAGGAGGAGTCTAGTGTCTCTAATTCCTGAGCTTTTCTGAGACTGTGAGTTGAATCACTTACTTCTGATTGGCATTTTATTCTTCAGGCATTTAATTTTTGTAATTTAGTTAGTCTCCTCTTTGTATTTATCATTTCCAACAATTTCATTCATTTCTGGCATCTTATGTCTCCTCAATTTCTGTGCTTTGCAATTTTTATTGCTATTTTATTGTATATCAAGCAAATGTAAATACTTTGTTTAATGGATGCTATAGTTTGTCTTTGTCCCCTCCAAAATTCATGTTGAAAGGCAATTCCCAGTGCACCAGTATTGGGAGGTATGGTCTTCAGGAAGAATTTCATGACTTTGCCATTATGAATGTGATTCAGTCCTCTTATTAAAGAGCTTGATGGATGGAGTATGACACCCCATCTCCCCATTCACTCATTCACTTTTTTTCTTTTTTTGTACCAGGGATCGAACTTGGGACCTTGAGCTTGTGAGGAAGGCGGCGGCACCTCAGAGCTAAATCCCCAGCCCCTCCCATTCAGTTTTCATCGCTTAAGGACACAATATTCCTCCTCTCTGGAGGACATAGCTTTCAAGGTGCCATCTTGGAATCAGAAATGGAACCCTCACCAGACAGTGAACTTCCCAGTTCCTTGGTCTTGGACTTCTCAGGCTCCTAAAATGTGAAGAGTAAATCTTTATTCTGTATAAGTTACACAGTTTGTAATACTCTGTTATATTAATATATAGTATACCCTTTGGACTAAGATAATCAACCAGAGATTTTTTTTCTATAAGAACAAAATTTAGAACCATTTATTAATGAATGTAATGGACCCAATGAACAATGTTGAGGAGGACCAGTTTTTGAAGGGCCACTTTTCCCTATAAAGTACAAAGACAAACCTTTATAAACTTTTAATTATAAGAAAAAAATTCATCAGATAAGAAACTGGATCAGTTGTGATGGTGTTATCCAGACAAGAGAAAATTCAGTACTTTATTTCCAAGTTAACTTCACTGGGAGCTTTTGTGTGATTACTTTCACACACCCCACCCCCAGATAGAGTTCTGCTAGCTTTTCTTGGATCAGAAAAGTTTTCTTATTACTTCCACTTGTTATTTACAAGACCAAGATATTAAACTATGTTACAATGAGATGCTACAGAATACGCAATAAAATGGTTGTGCAACATTTTTACAACTATAAGAGAGCTCATACTTGTCTTGAACATTATTCATTCACCATCTGTTACTTCAGCCAATGTATACTACATGTTTCTGATGGGCTAAGCAGTGAGCTAAGACCTCACTGTTGCAACATGTATAAGATTCAGTCCCTGTATGATCATGCCTACTTCATCCTTCTTTAGACAATGTCTTAGTACACACCGTAGTCATTTTTAATTAATAACATGAAGTAAGAAAGCAGTGACAGTCTTTACTTAATTTAACAGGAGCCTAACTTTTTAAATAGTTACTGGGATTTACTATTTTAGAACAATCTACTATGTAACTAAAAGTTAAATATACAGAGCCGAAGATTACCGTTAAATATCTTCTTTAAAAATGTCACTTTTTCTATATGAAATCTCACACTAGTAATTGATTAAGAATATGATAAAAGGGGTGGAAGTGATTTCTAGCTACAAGTACAAAAGGACATGTTTAAATCTTATGTTTACTAACTCCATAAATATAGTTCCTTCTATACTAAGTGGAATTAATTTCTAAGAAACCAGCCTTTAGGCCTGGGGCTGCTTCCCAGACTACTGCTCGAATTCCAGATTGCAGCTCTCTGCTGAAACATGAGTTCAGTTACCAAATATAGCTGAGCGTAGTAAGAGGACATGAGGGTCTGAGGCCACAGCTGCCTCACAGTGACCACGGACCAGGCAGCCTCTAATGGACAGGCAAAGCCAAACTCTGCTCTCCCAGAAAAGAAGAAATGTTCATCTGAAGTTCGTCACCTTTCTGGAGGCTTCAAACTGACCAAGCGTTGAAAAGGTCTGTAAGGAGTATCTTAATATACTGACTCATAGGACAAAATTTTAAGGACTTAGAGGGAAAAAACAAACTAGGAATATAACAGTAATTTGCCTTTGAAGTTATGGTACCATTTAGAAGGTGACTGACTTTTCCTTCAGTTAGAGGGGAAAAGTAATGTGAAGCTTTTAGTCTTTCCATAATCAAGTAATTTATAAGATTTGAATGCTGACTTTATCTTTGCCCCTGCTGTCAGATAACCACCTTTTCTATTATAACCTTAGGCAAGCTAAATCAGTGCTATCGATTACAAAAGGATTACATGTGTTAATGGAGCCAAATCTGTCAAGATTGTGCCTGTCTTATGTTTCACAGCAAATGAAAAATACAGTTATCTTTCACCGTTAGGCTAAAAACTGGCGACTTAAAATAATAGGTTCTAGTAACATTGTAAGTTGTTAATTACCCTTTCAAATGATTATTAAAATTACTCCCAGGACATAATTAAGTCAACTGACATAGTAATAGCAGGCATTTTAAATGGTATCTATGCATAAAATATGCATATTGTTTTAGAAGATAAATCATACTAAGGGAAACTGTAGTATAGCCTGTGGAATCCAGTTAAATTTAATATCATAACATAATTGTACATTGTATTGTTTTACATTACACGTGAAATTGTCTTTAATGATATATATGAGGTTGATACAAAATGATTTTAGGCTCATATTACTATTTAGCATTTACTAAAAATACTAATTGCTTTCTACTATGAATACTGTAACCAAATATAAAGCCTATTTCTTGGCAATATTATACTGTATGTTATATTATAAAAAAATAAAACTATTCAAAATCTATTTCATGGTGTACATAGAGAAATTGAATTCCTTTTACATGTGAAAGATATCTTCAAAGTTTTTTCTCAAATAACTTGAATATTCACCTTAATTATTCAGATTTTTAAAATCAATCTTTTAAATAACAATTATTAACAGTAACAAGGCCCAAGAGATTAATCTAGCCAATATCTGCTCTGTAAATAAATGATAACATGTTCCTAGAATGCAAATCAGACTGCTCTCATCCTGGCATCCGGTATGGATTAGGGTCTGTATCTCAGGGGCTGGCTCTGTGTCTGCTATCTGTTGGGTATCTCTCTTTCATTGCTAAAACTGAACATCGAAACTGGCCCTATAGCATTCACAACAGAATGGGGATCGAGAGCACACTAGACAATTACAATTGCTTTGATTTGTTTACTTTGTGGGGGGGAAAAAAAGACTGTAGAGAGGAAACATTTTTCAGGTTTAGGAATACATCTGACAAGCTTTTTAAAAGATACCAGCTGAAATCTGCAAGGTCAAGACAAGAGTCTCCGCTTCTTTCACACGGTGTGTGGACAGTGCAATCTGTGAGTGTCAGTTAGGCATTCAGCCCGTCTAAAGGTAATAGTTCATCCTGACTAAGTTTCTTTGCTAAAGAAGAAAACTAAGATTGGGCAAAGAAGTCTAACCATAATTTACAACTGTTAAATCATCATTTTAGAGAATATGGAATCAAATTTAACAAACAGATTTTGACTTTAAGCAAGAAATGAATAAACTACCTGTAAGGTTTAGATACCAGACTTTTGCAACCAATTCAGTATGATGGGCAAAAATGATAAAGAGGACACCAAAAATGACTCCAAATATTTTTTTCTGTAAAATATTCATAGAGCTGTTGTAGCATTAAATGACCTATTATGATTTTATCTCTGAAATTGAGACAAAATATCTTATTTGGAGGGATATTTACAACTGTAGACTAAATATGATATATTTTCCTGGAATAAAATTTTGCCTGATGATAAAAAGGAAAAGAACCCTGTGCATTTAATAAAAATATAAAATTGCCATGCATTTTTTTGCATCAAACACAGATTTTATAATTTTTTGTGATTAACTTTAGCCCTACATGGGAGGAAAGAGGGGCAATTTGCAGAAAAAAACAAAAAAAAACATTATTGAAAGAAAGAAAGGAGAAAGGAAGGATGCAGGGGAGTAGCAGGTAACAGATTTGGTCTAGGGGTTAGCCTTGCTTCCAAAATACAAAATTAAATTTTAGAGGTTTTTTCAGCTTTGATTTTCATTGTAAAATATTTGCAATATCAAATCTTCAAATCAGTAGTTTGCATTTCTTTTTTAGTAATTGTTTAAATAAAAAATTAAAAAATAATGAAACTGCTAAATTTAAAATCATTTATCATATTAATGCTTTCTTTCAAAGATTATGAAAAAAGCAACAAAAAGATCTCCCCACGTGTCCCACCCCTTAACTCCACCCCTGCCTAATCCTACCACGAAGGTTTGGCTTCTATCTTCCAACCATTCATATATCTATTCCTAGCTATACATGTGTTTTAGGTGACTATTGAAACATTAATGAGCCTGCCTGGTCTCTCCAAATTACCTGACAATGACCCCTTCAGTGTCTCTGAAAGTATTCCTTGAACAGAATGCAGAAGTTCTCCCCCATCAAATTCTTAAACTACCCATTATAGCCCCAATAGGAAAAGAAAATTTTATAGTTTAATAAAAGTTTCAATCCTGAGTCTACCATGTCCTAAAAGTTCAAATGTGTCCAAATACTTGAACTTTTTTTTTTTTGCTGTAGTTTTGGGTAACAGAAATAATAAAATAGAAAAGTAATATCTATTCAGTAAATTGCTCTGTGAAAGCATATAAGGCAGAAGCTGCGAGGCAGAAAGTCCACAGAAAGCCCCGTTTTTGTTGTATGTAACCCTTCTACTAAATCTTATTGTTTCTTGTGCACATATATTACACCTTGTCCTCTCTAAATTCCATCAAAGCAAGAAACCCTTTCTCATTTCAACAGTCAATAGTGCCTTCAAAGGGATCATGCGGTAAGGTGTACTACAGGTTTGGTTTGGTTTTGCTTTGTGTTTGGTACCGAGGATCGAATTCAGGACCTTGCACTTGCGAGGCAGGCAGTGGCACCACTGAGCTAAATCCCCAGCCCCAACCACAGGTATTTTTTGACTGACAACATAAAAGATTCTTCCAAGTATCATAGATCTGATTTTAAGATAATCTATTCCCAAAAGTCAGAAACTTTAGAAACAAAAAACAGTTATTCATAGTTTAAAATTTTCTCTTTTCCACCATCTATATATTCATATATGTATATAACTGTATACACTTATATGTGTGCTGCATATTCAGGAATTCAAAAATAAATGTTTTTCCAAATATTAGACTAGTACTTTGAGATAATTTAAAATATAAAATTATATATGTGAGAATGTGTGCTATACATACCAAATGTAAAGTCTTCAATGAAAATTTATTGACATGTGCTATATTTTACAGTACAATAGGAGAATCCAGATGATTTATCCTTAAGGAGAAATTGTGAACCATAAATTTACAATTAGAAGTAATCTATAAATTAAATGGTATAAAATTCTTTTAAAAAGAATTAAATATGCACAGAGAGTTATCAAAATAGGTGGCAGTGGAAGTTTACATTTGAAAGCAACAGGGCTGAGGATAAGCCACCGGTCTGGTCTGATAAGCTGCAGAAAGACTGAAACTCCAGCAGTCTGAAAGCTGGAGATAGACAGGAATCTAATGCTTGATGGCACTTGCCAGCCCTCCTTTTGCTCTACCAAATGGCTGCTTAAGGTTAAGAGTTTGACATTATGAATAAATGCCAAAATTCACCCAGAAGGATTTGCTTGCAGAGCACCATGAGGTGACACAGCAGCTGCCCCTATGGCACAATTTGAAGGAACCTAAAGCACCACTAACCTGAGCATGTCCTCCGCTGTGACTATCACCACCCTCTGCTCCAATGTTGGGCTTTCGGTAACAGCCATGGTCTGCAGAAATTGATGTTAACATGTAAATGTGTATTTTATTTCATTTCATCATATCTGATCTTATTTTACCCTAACATCTTTTGAAGGTAAATTGAGGCTGTGTGCAATGAAAGCCTAATACAATTGCTCACAATCAATCAAGAAATGATATGGGACCATGCTAGGTAAAAGAAATTCAGAATCAGATTTTTTTTCTTTGTATTACTGATATCTTTTCTCTTACTAGAATGTTAATTCTTGTGATGAGGATGCAACTCAGTAGTAGAGCATGTGCTTACCATGTGTGAGTCCCTGAGTTCAGATCCCAGCCACCAAAGAGCAAACATTAAACAAACAATTGTTGGCTCCTTAGGTCAGAGAAGCCATCTCATGGCTATGTCCCCAGCTCATAAAAGAGGAACCTCACCACATTGTAGACACCCAATAATCAATAACTCAGTGCTGAGTATGATAACAGAGAAAATAAACACACACACATTCCAGCTAAAACATTTGTATTTCTATGATCTTATATATAGAAAAATCCAAAAACTTCACCAAAAAGAACTATGTATCAATTCAGAAAAGTTACAGATAAAAAATCAACATACAAAAATCAATAGCATTCCTGTGTCCCAACAGCAAATTTCCTGAAATATAAACTGGAATCCCATTTACAATCACTACAGACATACATGGTAGATAGATAGATGATAGATAGATAGATAGATAGATAGATAGATAGATAGATAGATAGATAGATAGATAAGCTAGGAATAAATTTAACCAATGAGGTGAAAGATCTCTACAATGAAAATCATAAAACATTGATGAAAAGAATGGAAGAAGGTACAAAAAAGTGGAAAGATATCTCACATTCATGGATTGGAAAAAGCAATATTGTTAAAATGGCCATGCTACGCAAAGCAATTTACAGATTCAATAATATCCTTATAAAAAATAAATGTCATTCTTTACATACTATAAAAAGTATAAAGTTTATATAAACCACAAAAACACAAATAATTATAGCTATCTTAATCAAAAAGAATGAAACAGGAGACATTACACTACCTGATTTCAAAACATACTACAAAGCTGAAGTAATCAAAGAAGCAAGGTGTTGGTATAAAAACAGATACATAAACCAGTA